GACAGACAGACAGACAGAAAAAGTTTTTTCCGACCAGACGGAGTAATAGGCTTCGCTAATCGCTCAGCCAATTAATCCAGCCAAACAATGTATAACCAGGAGGACATAGTGTATTTGTGTGATTGATGGATTAATTTCCTTCTTTTCATATTTGATTTGTTTAATCTTGTGGATCTTTCTGAGCAGTCTTGTTTTGTAAACCAATGTCTTATAGCACCATTTCTGCAATTTTTGAAATAAGACTGGTGGCATGAAAATACATAGGAGAATGATCATGTTGTTTGTTTGGACAGGTTACTGTAAGGTGTAGTAGCTACTATAATTTGGGAGTTTTTTTGTATCCATTTCCTATTTCCTTAGGGCTGATGTAGAGGACCATTTTCATGCAACTTTGATCATTTTGTAGATGGGACAGCAGATTTCATGTCATTCTGTCCTTCACATCATCTGTCAGCTGCAAATCAGATAAGAAATCAATTTACTAAAATTTTACTGTTTGCTCATCTTAGTATAATTTATTTTTTAAGAAGCAGCTCTTTTGAAAATGTGACATTTTGTTTTGTTTTAGACAACGCCAATGGCTGAAAAGAAGTGGCAATAAGGCGCTTTTAAACCTCACCCCACTCAAATTGAACAACTGCGATATGTGTGGTGAGCATTTTGAAGAAGAGGCCTTCTCAAATACATACAAGCGGCGGTTCAAAACTCATGCTCTACCCTTTATGGATCCTTCTATTACTCTGATAGCAGATGAGGATCTTGACAAGTTCTACACAGGTCTGAATATTTTTTTTTGCTACCTACAGCAGATCTATTCTCAAACTCACAAACTGTTTCTTTGCTAACAATTAAATAATGTCTTGCATTGCAGGTGAAGTTCAGGTTCAAAACCTGGAACCATTAGAAAATGTAGATGATCCCACTGCTCAACTGCCAAGTGTACCTTCACCTTCTAGACAGAGCCGTAAGCCCTCTTGTTTTCATTTTGTTTTCCATAGTAAATGCAGCGAGGGGTGAAAAACTCCCCTGCTAAGTGTACACCCCTAATTCTGGCCAATTCAGAAATAATTCAAACCAATTCAAAAATCATTCAATCATTTCAGTCTAATTCAAATCCAATTCAAGCCAATTTAAATCCAATTCATGAAATTTGTACACCTAATTCAGGAGTTACCTAATTACCCCTTAAAATGTAAAGACCATTGAGCACTGTTGTATTGATAATTGCAGGCAGTCGTGTTCAAGGAGCTGGATCCAAAGAGAGATCAAAGACCCCCAAAAGAGTGCCAAGAGAGATGCCTTCAAGACAGAGCCGTAAGCCCTCTTGTTTTAATTTTGTTTTCTACAGTAAATGTAGCGAGGGGTGAAAAACTCCCCTGCTAAGCGTACACCCCTAATTCTGGCCAATTCAATTTAATTCAACACAATTCAGAAATAATTCAAACCAAATCAAAAATCATTCAATCAATTCAGTCTAATTCAAATCCAACTCAAACCAATTTAAATCCAATTTATGAAATTTGTACACCTAATTCAGGAGTTACCTAATTACCCCTCAAAATGTAGAGACCATTGAGCACTGTTGTATTGTTAATTGCAGGCAGTCGTGTTCAAGGAGCTGGATCCAAAGAGAGATCAAAGACCAGAGTGTCAAGAAAGATGCTAGCAGCAGCTGCTGGGGTACATGGCCCTCTCAGCCCAGATGCCAAACTCATTTTAAAAAGTACGCAACAGTACCGCCAAGATGCAATAAGAATTAGAGCTCAGTTACAAGAGGCTTCTCTCAAAAATAGTCATCGAAAGAAAATTAGCAGGTCCTGATTTATGGAAAAAGTAAATGAGCTTTTAATGTCCCCCGCTGCTAAATTAATTTTAGAGGGGGAAATGGCAAATTTCCCCAAAAAGCCAAATGGCAGAAAATGGACATTAAAACAGAAGCTCTTTTACTTGGCAAGGTACAAGAGGAATAGATCTGTTTGCCTCTGGTATTCAAATTACTTGACTGTCCCTTGCCCTAAAACCTTGCTTGCTTTGTTAGACGAAATTCCCTTAATACCTGGTATCTGTCATATGGTTTTAAAACATCTTGCATCCCAAGTGGAAGTAAAGTTAAAGGGCAAGGGCAGATATTGTACATTAAGTTTTGACGAAATGAAAGTGAAGAGTGGACTGTATTACAACACAAGGACTAAAACCGTGGAAGGGTTTGAGAACCTAGGTAAAAGAGGGAAGACCACAAGTTGTTGTAATGCTGCCCTTGTCTTTATGCTTCGGGGTATTTCAGTGAAATGGAAAATGCCAATCGCTTACTTTTTTGTTAAAGACACTGTGACTTCTGAAACACTTGCAAGACTGATTCCTGATGTCATTCTAGCAGTGAAAAAAATTGGTCTCACTGTCCTTGCTACTGTCAGTGACCAAGGCTCCACAAATCGCAGAGCTATTACAATATTGCGGTCTAAGTGTGAAGAGGGGGAATATGAACCCATGTATTATGTTGACATGAAAGTTGTCCACATTTTCGATATTCCACACATCTTGAAAAATATTCGAAATAACTTACTCACCAGTGACCTACATGTAAGTCCTGGTGTTGTTGCAAAGTGTTCGCATCTAGAAGAATATTATGAGTTTGATCAGTTGCATCTTGGTGGGAAAAGTGGCTTGCGGTTCGACCATGTGTACCCCCGTGGAAGGACTAAGATGCGTGTTAAATTTGCTGCTCAGGCTATGAGTGAATCCATCTGCAATCGGATGGAATCTATAATTGTTTCCAGTGAGGGGCGGACATTGTCAAAATGTGTTCCAACCATTTTGACCTTTGCGCTCATAGATTTGTTTTTTGACCTGACTAATGGACATGGTGCAAAAGACAAGAAGAAACCAATGCGGTGTCTTGTGACCTCGTCATCACCCCATCGTGTGATGTGGAGAACAATGCTAGAAAAGATGAAGTCATGAAAATACATGACTAAGTGTGGACGCCGGAAAGGACAGTTTCACCGTCCTCCATGTCTGACAGGTTGGATGGACAACATCAAAGGGTTCCAACGCCTGTGGAAGACTTGTTCAGGTCTTGGTTTCAAATCCCTGGATTTACGCCGTTTTAATCAGGATCACGTGGAAAATTTATTTGCCTCTATTCGTGCTTCTAATGGTTCAAACACAAAACCTACATGTATCCAATTTACCAGTGCTCTTAAAACTGTGATTATTAATAATTTATCAAAGTCTACAGCTTCAAACAAAAACTGTACTGATGACAACGACGAATTTTTAACCGATTTCCATTATCTTTTTGATAATCTTCATGATACTGACCACCCAGCAGAAATTGTTCCTGAAGAACCGGATCTTATAAGAGAAAAAGATATTGTTTATCAAGATATTGAAAATTATTTGAGCCAAAGTAAATTTAGTAAATCGTTTAGGCAGTACTTTACATTGGTTTGCTCAAATATTTTGAGTAAACTATACTAGTAAACTAAATTAATTTTGACATTTGGCCTATTTGCATCTATCTGAAAGAAAAAAAATGTGTTAGTAACTTTAATCATCAAATCAATCACTTTCAACTTAAATGTACTTACCTGTCTGTTGATGCCTGTAATAGAGACTTATAATTGTTATTATTTTCGCAACTTACCATTGGATTAATATGTCTCATCTTGTTTGTATTATATGTGTACCTTATTTAAAATTGCAACGCTTTACACATTATATTAAAGTAATTTATGCATAACATTGTACTTTGTTGTTCTAATTTTTATCATGGCCTCTTCAGTAAGCTATTAAAGCAACCCACACTCCACTTATAAAAGATTTGTCTAAAAACATAGCTTCAACAATTAAGACCGTGACACGTTACAGTCTTTTTTAGCCCGCCCTTCTGCTTTGAAAAAGCTATCCAGCGGGCTTATGCAAACGACCTCGTGT